TAAATTAAGAAAAAGTTTTAGTTCAATTCCCTCCCATTCCTCTTGAATTATTTCACAAAAAACATCTACAGTAACTGTTTTTTTTAAGAACCAGTTTGTTAACCTTTTTCTCCACATGTTCCTTCAAAATCGACCATAAATTTTCGATCAGATTGAGGTCTAAGCTGTTCGAAAGCCAATCCAACAACCTTGGACAATGTTCTGAAAGAAGTTTCTTGGTTTTCTTGGCTGTATGCTTCAGATCATTATCCTGTTGGAACACCCAGCACTTCTCTATAATAGAATTTGCGTTTTCAAATAGGTTTTCTGTCAAAATTTCTCGATAAAAGCACCTATCCATTATTCCTATAAAAAGAAGAAAGCTAATTGGACCTTTTGCTGAAAAGGCACCCATGCATAAACTTTGTATGGATGTTTCACCATAGGTTTGTGTGGAGGCTGTGTACTAACTTTATGGAAAACTGTCTAAGTATTTTAAAATATCTAGAATGTGGTTTCATTGGAAAAAACTACCTTATTCTAATTTTATCTTCTGTATTTCATAGCAAACTTCACTCTACGCTGCTTTTGTTGGTCAGTTAGCAAGGGTATAGTTTTTGAGACAGTACTAAAGTAATTAAGATTATTAAGTTCATTAAGCACAGTCTGGTCAGTTACATTGAGATTGGTATAATTTTCGTTCAAAATATTTGCAAGTTCAATACATATGTAATATCTATTTGCTGAAATGAGACAACCAAGAAAATAACGTTTTTTAGGAGAAAGTTTCTTTGGTCTACTGGAGCAAGGTAAGGGGTTTAAAGTGTTGCTATTTTTAAGTTTTTTGACATAGTCATATACCATAAAGCGTGAAATAAAGGTTAATTTGTGCAAAGTTTTAGCATCATGGACGCTATTGCTCCATAAAGTGCTTACAATTGTATGACGTTGCTCAAGTGTAATGTTTGCCATGGTTGCTAAAAAAAAACTTGACGGGTAAAACTAAATAAATAAACAAATATATCGATCATTTACTATTATGATCAATATATCATCATGTGAAATTTTAACTTGATTAGCTTAATAATACAAGAGAAATTTACATTTTATTGCAATGTATTTTTTTCTGATTACTTTTTTTGACCACTGTATAATTAGTTCACCCGCTGGATTTGATTATCAAATCTTGTATCATAAGAGAAATTTGTGTAACAATTTTAGTGTATCAACCTTTTTGCACTAGATCATAATCTAAAGTGAGATATAATTTAATATTTTATTTTAGTTAAATATCAGTTTTTTATTTATAAAAAATTTAAAATATTTTTTGATATTAATTAATTTAACTTTTTATTTATAGTAAAGTATTATTGATAATATAATTCTTAAATTTTTAAACAATTGATTAACTATTTAAAAAATAATTAGTGAAAAGTTTGATAAGTAAATAATACAGTCAACTCTTGTTATAGCGAACTCTTAATATAACGAATTTTTTGAACAAATATAATAAAAAATACTCTTGTTATAGCGAATTGATTAATCAAATCTCTTAAAATCTTCACTATAGCCTTATAGTGAAGTTGAGGTCTAAGATATAAAGTTTATTATAACAGAGTTAACTGTAAATACTAATAATATTACATATAATTTGATTTTAATAAATATGATAAGATAATTATTAAATTAAATAAATTATAATGTAAATCTAATATTTCTATCTTAAATCTATTTAATATTTCTTAATTTTAAGATTAAAAGAGAACTATTTATATGAAAGTTAAAGTTATATATATAAATAATTTAAAATCTAATTAAAATAATTTATAATAATATTATAATATTATTATTGTAATCAAAAGAAAGAATAAATTTTAAATATTAATATAAGAAAAAAATCAATAAATTAATATATTTGAGATTTAATAATATATATATTTTAGTTAATAAAAGTAAAAATAATAAAAAATAAAATTATTTTATAACACAATTATCTTAATAGAATAAGCTTTTAAAATTATCTATTAAAATAATTTTATTAATATTAAAAAATACAAATAATAAAAAAATTAAATATTAGACTATAAAGTAATATTTATATGATAAAAATTTATTAATAGCTTTTTATAATGTATTATTATATAATTATAAATATAAATTATAATAAATAATTAATTAATCTAATATAAAAATAATAAATATATTAAAACTCAATATAATGAATTTAATATCTGAATCAATTAGGCCTTTATTATAAGAATATTTATTAACATTATAACAAATTATTTGATATAGTAGATTATTATTAATTTATTACACAAATATAATTTTATTATGATATAATTTTCTAGAAATATTTTTATATTTATTTTGTAAATTCTAGTTATTTATTTTAATATGCAATCTATTAATCATTATATGATAATTTTATTAATTTATTAATTTTAAGAAAATTAAAAAATAAATTAAATATAAAATAAAAATAAATAAAAACAAATAAAAATGAAAAGAAAAGAAAAGAAAATAAAATAAAATAAAAAAACAAAATTAAGAAAACTAAATAAAATTATAAAATAAAAGCAAGAAAATAAAATAAAACTATAAAATAAAATTAAGAAACAAAATAAACTATTAAACAAAATTAAAAAATAAAATAAAACTATAAAATGAAATTATGATTATTATTTCATTGACATATTACGATTTTATTTTATATTTTAAGTTTTCATAATAGACAAATTACAATATACCTCAATTTTAAAAAAATAAATATTTTTAATATAAATCTAAAAAATCAATTAAACATTTTTAATTATTACTTAGCCTATTCTAGAATTAAGTCATAAAAAGATTATATAATCTTTTTGCTATATACAGGGTTGAGAATTATACTAGTATTATATCAATACTATACTAATACTATCCTAAATAATATACAGTCAACTCTCTATAAATGCACCCCCTCAGGACCAAACAAAAGTATGCATTTATACAGGGAGTGCATTTATAGAAAAATCGGCTGGGAATATATACTCATTATGAAATACCTACCTATCATCTTTTAATTACATGCGCGGAAATTAAAACAATCAACTACGCCGAACTGATCAAAGTTTTCCATCTTAAAAAATATTTTTTTTTTATTAATTTTTATTCGTTTTTTTATATATATTTTTTTAAAATTTTTTTTTTTTTTTGTATTCCCAATTTCACTTTTTCCTACTTTCTCACTTTCCTACTTTCTCGCTCTCACTTTTCCACTTTCTCGCTCCCACTTTTCCACTTTCTCACTCCCACTTTCCCACTTTCCTTCTTTCCCTCTTTCCCTCTCCTTCCCCTTTTTTCCTCTTCCTTTTTTAGGAATGGCATTCTTGGACCGAACTCTCTTAGAATTATGAGTTTGAATGGAAAAGGTAAGTTTTGCGGGGGTTAGGTGTGTTTCTTCAGGAACATTCATTAATGTTCCTTTTTCTTTTTTTTTGTAGGAACGGTTCTTGTAGACCTTTGAGGCTTCCAGAATTGTTAATAATGTGGCTTGGGGTGGGTGTGTTCCTCCAGGAACGTTCATTAACGTTCCTTTTTCTTTTTTTTTGTAGGAATGGTTCTTGTGGACCTTTGAGGCTTCCAGAATTGTTGGTAATGCGGCTTGAGGTAGGTGTGTTTTTCCAGGAACGTTCATTAATGTTCCTTTTTCTTTTTTTTTGTAGGAACGGTTTTTGTGAACCTTTGGGGCTTTCAGAATTGTTGGTAATGCGGCTTAGGGTGGATGTATTTCTTCAGGAACGTTTATTAACGTTCCTATTTTTCTTTTTTTTTGTAGGAATGGCATTCTTAAACCTTTGGACTTCCGGACTCTCTTGGAATTGGGATTGGAAAGATAAGTAATACAGGCTTAGGGTGGATGCATTTCTCTAGAAATATTCATTAATGTTCTTTCCTCTTATTTTGTAGAAACAGCTTTCTTGAACCTTTGGAATCTTAGCATCAAATCTGGATC